AAAAAAAAGAATCACTATATTTTAAGATAATTTTTAATCAGATTTTTCAGGTAGCTGTCACACCACCTTTGATGGCACGTCTCATTCTAACCTGTTAGAATAAATGAATTCTCGTTTTGCAGTATAGTCAGGGTTACACAAAAAGTCTTCTAATAATTAATGAAAGGAAAAAAATCCAACACGGATCTGTCAGTGAAAGCGTGTCTAATACTATCATAGTTATGATAAATCTGTATTTTCTCCTTTTTGTAGCTGAGGTCTTTTAATTATTATTTGTGAACCTGCTACATTAAATATTCATAAATATTTGTGTGTGTGTGTTTTAGCTCATCTCAGGAAATACCGCTCTAAATAGAAGAGCGGAACCACCACCCACCCACCCACTTGACTTGCAAATTCAATATTATGGACCTCCAGCCATCCTTTAAACGTCTTGGAGTTCAAGTTAGTGTTTTCATTTTTTGTTTTGTTGTTGTTGTTGTTGTATTTTACAGGGAAGTTAGAGCTGGTGTTGGCGTGTCATGTGTAAGCGAATGAGAAGTAAAAGTGTAGCAATCTTTAACACACCCACCCATAGCACACACCCAAGCCCAGGTCCAAAGTCTGAAGTTGACAATTCAGTTCTCATTCAGTGTGACTGTTTTCGCAAGTCTGATCTTAAAGAGTCGCTTGTGTCTGAGGAGAGAATGATTACTTTCGAAACATTTAACTGGTTTTATTAATAACTGTGTACTGATGATGTATCATCGTCTTCTCGTGATTGCCGGTCTGTTGTCAGCTTATATAGGTAAGAAAGAGAGCCGGGTTGCTTTAAATTAACGTTGCGCATGTCAAAGTTAAATTACAGTTATTCAAATGGAAACGTGACTTGAGAAACTGTTGTTGGTACGTCCTCTCAAGTTCACTTAATAACCAAAGCTAGGAATGCTGCACAGGCCTTGGACCTTGTCTAGTTTATCAAATCGTAGACTGAACGAACCAAGTAATGTGAATGACTCCTTTTATACATTTCTGTGAATTATTCAGATTCAGTGTCCAAATAGACCCAGCGACGGCATTTTGATGGATTAAGCCAAGTCACGTCTAAATGATGAAAGAGGATAACACGCTTGCTTGAGTGTAATTTTCATAGTATTCGCCTCTCAAAACAGCATCAAAAAGAGTTTTTGGCTGATTGTAAGATTGTAACACATGGTTAGATAGACATTTTTGCAGTACAGCTGGCTTCTGTGAGGCAACAGTGCTAAGCAATTTTTGGCCCATAAAAATGACAAAACCCAGCTAGTTGTTAATACTTCAACAGTAATTTCATAATAGAAAACATTTTTTAGCAGCTCCATTACACTTTGTGGGTAAATCTAGAACCTGTGTTTACTGTGAGTATGAAATGAAGCTTGTGAATGGATAAGAAGTAAGTGACACTTCTAAGCTTGTGTGAAGTACTGTGTCAACAAAGGCTGAGAGTTCAGTCTGTGCACACATGTGCGTCAGAGTGTCTCAGGTTCAACTGGTTTTGTCCTCATTATGTTGTCATTATGTGCTCTCTCCAGCACTTTAAATAGTGTACAGAGTAAACTGTGTACACTATTTTTTCCCCATGTAGTTATTCTAAAAATCATATCTCGTTGAAGTTGTTTACCAAGTTTATGTGGTTAATTGCTCAATTTTTCACTCTAATGAAGCTTCTAAAGAAGACTTTTTATAGTGTTTAATTTTATTAAGAAAGATTTTAATCTTTATCTATTTACCTTTTGATAACTTGGTTATCTTTAGCTACTCACAGTAAACTACATTTGGTATAGTTGGTTGCCTGAAGCTTAATTAAGACGATGGCTTGAATTATGCACATAAAAACTAGTCATGAAGCTGGTTATTCAGGATGTGATGACAGATGAAAGATTCAGTTGGCACACCTGATTAGATATTTTTGTTTACAGGTGCAGTCTCGGAGCCAAAGCTCTCAGTGGTTTCGGTTGAAAGATGTGGGGTGACTGTGCAGTGTGAGGTGAACTTCTGGCCAACAGAGCCTCAGGTAACATTTCTGGATCACCAAGGAAACGACATCCCTGCTCAAGGTTCAGAAAGAGATCGAGATGCCAGCGGACGTTTCATCGTCAAACAAAGAGTTACTCTGCAGGAAGGAAACAGCAGGTTCAACTGACATCATTGCTCCATCTTTCAAAACTCACTGATAATTTATTTTGTGTAACATAAACAAAATGTTTTCCTTATGCCTCAAAACATTTCTCAGACACATCAGAAGTTGCTCTCTCATATGCGAGAGGTTGCGATGCAGTACATCATGTATCATGAAACAGACTTGTTGTTGAGTTAAGACATCATTAGTGCAATGTGAACAGGAATAGTTTTAAATCTTATGACCTCATTTTGACTGGTCATTGGCATTTATGATTTCTTTAAAGCTAAAACTCTTGTGTATGAACGTATTTCTCTCTGTGAAGTCTTAAACGTCCAAAGCAATAGACACAAGAGATGTGAAGAAAAGAGCGAGGGCAGAGGGTGAGATGTGCATGGATGACTTGCTGCAGTCACCCCTAAAGGGAGCACCCAAAAAAAAAAAAACATTTAAATTTGGTTCTATTAAATTGATCCTGTTTTCTTAAAAGATTTAACCAGTGATATACCATGTTTGGTAAGTAAATCAGACACAAGCAGCCAGTTTTTTTTTCCCCAACTCATCATTATATTTAATTTCTTAAAAAACATCTATCCATCCATTTATCTTCTTCCAATTATCCGGGGCCAGAAGTCTAAGCAGAGAAGCCCAGACCTGTCTCTCCCCAGCCACCTCCTCCAGTTTGCCCGGAGCAACACCAAGGCATTCCCAAGTAGCTCAGTGTCCACTGGGAGGAGGCCCGGGTGGTTCAGGCATTTGACACTGTCAGATGCCTGAACCACCTCAACTGCCTCTTTTCAATGTGGAGGAGCAGCGGCTCTACTCTGAGCCCCTCCCGAATGGCCCGACTCTCTAAGGGAGAGGCCAGTCACTCTTCGGAGGAAGCCCAATTCTGCCGCTTCTATGTGTGATCTTGTTTTTTCAGTCACTACCCACAGCTCATGACCATAATTGAGGGTAGGGAGGTAGATTGATCGGCTAACAGAGCGCTTCACTTTGACACTCATCTCTCCCTTCATCATGATGGACCAGTATGGCGTCTGCATCACTGCAATCACTCATGGTGCAGGAACTCGTCCCTGAGTGGGCACTCCTCCCTTTTCTAGCTGATTCTCATTTCCACCGCTTCACACTTGGCTGCGAACCGTTCCAGTGCAAGCTGGAGGCCATTACCCGATGATGCCAACAGAACCACAACATCTGTATAAAGCAGACATGAGATTCTCTGTGAAAGCCTTCCACCGCTTGGCTACGCTTAGAAATTCTGTCCATAAAAATTCTAAGCAGAATCGGTGACAAAGGGCACTCATTGTTAAAAAGCTTTTGAAAACAAAACACCTTTGTCCACATAAAATGTTACTAATTTACTCTAAAACTAACCAACTTGCATGTGCTTTATTTGTTCTCACAGCATCACCTGCAGGGTTCACCAGCCAGAGATGAACCAGACCAGAGAGACAAAGATCCTCATATCAGGTACACGGGGAATTGAACATCACACATGTACCTGCTGGCTAACAGAATAAGAGAAATGCAGCCTGTTGTAGGAAGTTCACTTACTTTTAAAAACTCCAATCTGCTCATGAACTGCAGATGCAAATTAGTGTTAAACTCTGGAACAGTGCATCAAATGACAACAATCATGTTTATATAATACATTGTCCCTTTTTAACTAAAACAAATAAAAAAAGAACAGCCATCATACATATCCAACCTCAAATCAAATCATATGCAATTTGATTAATCTGTTCATTAAATAAACAGTTTCCTTGCATTATCTCACATCTGAGTTGTAGGAAGTTGAAGGTGATTCAATTATTTTCAGGTATAGTCTGAAAAGTCTTCCGATAATTAGCTCGGGAAACATCTTGTTGTAATAAAATAAAAACATAAATGTGTTTTATTGTATACATGGAGCCATTTACGTGATTATGCAACACTTCTTAAGAAAGGAAGCTGCTTAGTTTGCCATAGTTCCTAGATATTGGAAAACCAGTTCTATGTTGCAGACATCATGTTTGTGATTTAGCAGATAATGTGATCAGATGTTAACATCATGCATGTTGTTATTTCAGCCACCTGCAGCTCCGACATTTGCACCGCTGCCTTTGCTGCTGGAGGGTTGGCTTCTGTCTTATTTTCAGCTATATTAGCTCTACTGATATATAAGGAACACAATAAATCAAGTAAGTCACTGTCTTCATTTAACAAAGATGATTCAGCTAAAAAGTGAAGACATGAGCGAAGTGGTGAGCATCTAAGTGTTTTCTCTGCCTTGAAAAGGTTCACGTCTGTAGTGTCGTCCAACTGCCACAGGATGGCAGACATGCACCTCTCAAACAAGAACCACATGCTCAAAGAGACCACAGACCTCAAAGTGCTGTTGCTGAGTACTTACTCGTACTTAAAGACAGCTTGTTTCAGTAGAAAAAACAATAGCAACAGCTTTGCTTTTAGTGCTATCAAAAACATCAACCCACTCTTCAAAAGAAAAAAAAACAATGTCCTGTAAGACTTGTGAAAGTCTATTAATGTCACATATTATAAAACAAAAGATAGAAATATAGTTGCAGTGTTCTTAATGGCCAAAGGTGCACACATAGTGGCAGCTGTGGCTCAGGTGTTAGAGCGAGTCATCTGCCAATCGTAAGCCTGGTGGATTCGTCTGACTGACTACGCGCTGAGGTATCCGTGTTCAGATACTGAACCCCATTTTGACCCCAGTGCATTCATGTAAATGCTATAAAGTACTTAAGCGCTGCATGAACACATGTGATTGGGTGAATGAGACTTAGATGTCTGCTCAACTGAGTAGAAAGGTGTTATACAAGTACCAGTCCATAACATTTACTTCTCCATAATCACCAAAATATCTTTATTTAGTATCTCTACTTGTTTCATGTCTATTCAGGGACACCTCTAGAAATCTTTCATATGGGGGCCAAAAAAATATCGGGGTGGCACAGCAAAGACAGAACAGTGAGGGACATCTAAAGTGACAAAAATAATATATGCAGGAATAAATAACAAGTTAATGTTTCAACTCATTGTAGGGTGTCTTGCCCTCTCTTGTGTTCACTTGTGTTCTTGGTGCTGGGGGTCACTTGGGGGGCCAGCCAATTTTGGTGGGTGCCCAGTGCCTCCCTTGGTGGTGGTCCTGTACCTATCACCAATCGAAAAAAAGAAAGTACAACTATGCAGTGAAGTTAAGGACGGGCGACAAGCTTGTGAAAAGTTGCCTATAAGTGTTTTAATGTTTTTATTACCTTCAGATTCAAATGTTTGGTGGGAAAAATCTTCATTTTGTTGCTTCACAGCTAAAGTCACTTTAAAATTATGTCTTCTTTTACAAAAAGTTTGGGTTGCTTTTACTTTCCCTTCTTGTTAATCCGTAAATAAATGTCACATTATTAATGACACATTTTTTTTTCTGTCTACACAGCCCAAAAAAAGAAGCGTCTTCACAGGAAGTCATCAGACCAAAGAAAGAATAGCAGCACTGAAAATATGTTAAACAGTTTAACTGAGCAGCTAAAAGAAAGATTGGCTGGACTCAAGTCAGAGCTTCAGGAGAAAGAAGAGATCATTCGCCAGCTAAAAAGAAATGATCAGCCGTCTCGTGCTGTTGCTACCCAGCATGACCAACCAATTTGGGGCCTTTTCACGTCCAAACCAGACATCCCCAAAAAACCTTTCAATCATTATTCTGACCTTGACTCCAACGCTAGTTACTGTGCTGATGACTATCATCCAAAATTCACAGCTTCAACCAAAACTTACCCTCCAAAATCTGGCAGCTTACACCACAAAGGTTCACATTTAGGAGTCAAGAGGCAAAACAGCAATCCAGCACCGGGCCAACCAATCCAAAGAAAACATCGCAACAGAAGTAGTCCTGCTATTATGTCTTTAGCGTTACCTAGCTTGTCTTTAACCAGCAATGCAGAGAAAATGCTGGACCACATTAGCAGCTCAAAGAGTGAGGCTGAAGCCCTGCTAGATCAAGATGCATTCTCGCCACTGCATAGAAGTTATTCAGCAGGTTCTCATTTAGCTTGCAGTAATAACCGCTTTTATGTACTGGAAGGTTTAACTGAAGAGTCATGAGCTGCCAATTCACAAAAGGAGAACAAAAACTGGAAAACTTTCAGTTAACATCTACTAATGACTGCATTTTAGCCAGATGTTTTACAAGCTTGGCTTCAGAAACTAGAAGATATCAACTTATAGTTCTTCTTTTATAAGATTTTCATTTGGGTGTGCTATGGGGAAAAATCCATATAAAGCATGGCTGGCATGCTGATGGATAACACTTAGACAGACGTTCATGAACCCACTGTTTTAATTCCTGTTTGCTCTTTGTATTTTTGTTTATGGATGGTTATTTTTTTTACACCAACAGATATTTAAAAGGTAAGAGCTGAAAATGAAGTCTTGGGTTTTAAGCTAATGAGCATTAAACATAGACTATTTGAATTAATTAGATTTGGATGTATTATACTAACCAACATATAGTCTTGTTGTTTGTTTAAAATTCTCTAAACTTAGAAATGTGATTGGTGTGAATTGTGTGTGCGCGTTTATTGAATAAGATTGAAAGAAAAAAAAGTGACTCGGATGTTAATCCCAATTTGTGGTTTTTTTATTTTGAAGTTTTTGTGTTATCTCTTTAATTGGATTTTCTGTGTTTTACGTTATAGTTTATATTAATGTTGGCTTTATGATTCTGACCATAACATTTGTATGTCAAATGGCAATGTATTGAGAGGGTTTTAACATTATGTTTATTTAAAACTGCTGGTTAATAAAATTTAAAATGTTTCATATTTTGTTACTCATATATTTTCTAGGTTCAACAAGCTAACATTACTTTAAATTGAAATATTTGTATGTGTTATATAAACAAAAATGATCATTTTCTCAAGCTTATGCTTTGTATGTCTTCCACACTCAAGTTCATTGTTTATTTCTTCAGACAATATTAGTCTGAAACCTGAAAGAAAATAAAGTGTGAACACTACTGAAGTACAGGAAACCTCCAAAATTCACAGGGATTACATTCATAGAGCACCTGCGAATTGTGAAAAACTGCAAAAAATTCCTATTTTTTATAGTTCAACCCCTAAATGTGTATTTGGGTGGCATCTTTGGGCTTTAATAGGGAAAAAGAACACAAAAGCATTCAGTGCAACACTTAAAATGCGGAACTGCATCTGCCAGAGATGCAACAACATGTTGTTGCAGCTGAAAAGACATATCAGAATCAGAGAAACTTCATTAATCCCAGAGGGAAATTGAGCATGTGAAAATGATCCAGAAATACCACCTTCTCTGGGCAGGTTAGACATTTCCTGAATATAAGAAGCTAATGAAGTGCGATAGTCTGACTTCAAACATGAATTAACTTGATGCTATGTGAAGAAAGTTTCTGTAACTACTCAGTTACTCACTTACATGCATGCACATGAGCACACACACAGACCTTGCACAGTTTAAGAGTTTGTTGGATTTTCTAATCTTTATATTTTGACATACCTGTTAACAGTTGAGATGATTTTTAAGTTCTACTGAATCTTTATAGTTAAGAGCAATTTGAAAGGTAAAAAGAATAATACATTTAATATTCATCCGTTTTTCCTCATCTTATTTGGCATAAATCAATTGTTTGTTTTAATGTGAAACTGAGGAACATTTAAATGATCACCTTAAGGCAGAATAAAGAAGAAGAGCACCCTCTTGTGGCGGAACTGAAACATTCCACTGTAAATGACGCTGTCAAACTCGTGACTGATGTCATTAATCTAATCATGTTCCTGCCTGCCTTCTCCGAGCCAACCAGGCTCTACTTTGCTTGCTTTAGTTCTTAATGTTCTTCTGTCTTTCATTCTCCAATTCGTGCAATAAGCCTCCTCCCCATCTCTGTCTTATCCTGGACCCGTCCAAGCTGCAATCTTCATCTTCACTCCCATGTAGAGTCTGGGGATCCTGTCCTAAATCATGTCACCACTGGAATTATTTCTGCTTTGATGGGTCGTTGGAGTCAAATTACCAAATAGCTTCAGTATCTGAAAAAAATGTTAAGTGTTAAGTTTTTCTATTGAAGTATTATTGTGGATATTGCTGGATTGTCTAATTAAACGTAGGTTTGCTGGTGGAGATGTTATTCTACCGTGCAGTTTTAATATCTCTGACAACACTGACTTTCCGACTGTTGAGTGGTCCAAGGAAGGCTTGAAGCCAGATGTTGTCTTCTTGTACCGGGATGGTTGTGAGGCCTACGAGATGAAGAATCCAGCCTTTGAGTACAGGACAAGCCTCATCGTGAAAGAGCTGAAAGATGGAAACATCTCATTACGGATCTCCAATGTGCAGGTGTCTGATACTGGAAAGTACCAGTGCCTCATATTCCAGAAAAATGCCATCAGGAAGGTTACAAAAGTGGAGCTGGTTGTGGGTATGTCTACTAATGTTCATTTCCACATTGGTAATTCGGCTGTGAACTGTGTGGTCCACCAGCCTGAGAGTTGAATCCTTGCCCATTTATTATATGTATATTAGAGTCAGAGCTCTTAGCAGCATGTAGTTTAATTATGAAGTAAAGCTATGCACCAAGTCTTATAATAGAGGATGTGTAAGGCTATAAAAGACCCCTTTTTTTTATAACTTACCTGTACTACATTTTTAGTTGATGCTGGGTTAGGGTTTAGAAACCAAAACTGTTCAATTAGGCTTACAATAAGACAACCGACTTTGGTTTTCCATGGTGACATAATGTAGATATTACAATCCTTTTTTTATTTTATATAACATTTTGCTTGCCATGAGTTTGGAGAGCTGTTTTATCCCATATATTTTTACCAGGATAAGCTATTCACATCATCATCATTCAGAGGACTCGTTCTTAAGCAGGACCAGGTTCAAATACGTCCTATTGACTTGATTGAAGTTGGGATTCTTTTTCATGAACTGATCATGTTTCTCTTTCATTGCAAGGAAAAGGCTTGTTAATGCCACTTTTTTACCCTTCCTGGATTACATTGGTATCATTTACATGAATGCCTCTGCTCACTATCTTCATCTGTTGGATTCTGTCCATCATGGGGCGTTAAGATTTATAACTGGCTGTAAACTTTTAGCTCACCACTGTGCTCTATGTTCACTGGTTGACTGGTCCTCATTGGCAGCATGGGTCATTGGTATCATTTTATCTATCAATCTGTTTCTCCTTTACTGACCTTTTATTTATCAGAGTACATATTTAGTCATAGACTGCAGCGTTGGGACATCATTACATTTACTGTTCCAATAAGTTCATACGGAGCTGGGAAAGAGGGCATTCTCCTTTTCTGCCCCATCTTCATGGAATACATTACAGAGTGATTTGAAGATCTCTTAATTGATTTCAATTGCAGACTTCAAAAGATGTAGAAATGTTTTTTTGTGAAATCATCAGTGGGAA